TGTTTTCATTTCTCTTAGGTATGTACCTAGGAGTGGAATTCCTGGGTCATAGGGTAACTGTTTAGCTTTCTGAGGAACTGTCAAACTGTTTTCTACAGTGGCTGTACCATTTTACATTCCGCCAGCAACGTTTGAGGGTTCTAAATCCTCCACATCCTTGCCAACATTTCTTGTTGTCCATCTTTTTCATTATAGCTATTTCAGTGGGTGTGAGGTAGTTTTTCATTGTAGTTTTGATTTGTATTTCCCTATTGACTAATGATGTTGAGCATCTTTTCCTGTGCTTATTGGTTATTTGTGTATCTTCTTTGGGAAAAATGTCTATTCAAATGCTTTGCCTGTTTTCAAATTGGGTTGTCTTGTTAGTGTTCAGTTATAAGAGTTCTTAATATATTCTGGATACTAGACCCTTATCTGATAAATGAGTTGCAACTATTTCTCTCCCATTTTGTGGGTTATCATTTCACTTTCTTGGTAGTGTTTGAAGTAGAAAAGGTTTTAGCTTTGATGAAGTCCATTTTAATTATTGTTTCTTTGATAGCTGTGCTTTTGGTATAATATATAAGAAACCATTGCCCAATCTAAGGTCAAGAATACACTCATTTTCTTCCAAGCATTTGATAGTTGCAGCTCTTACATTTAGGTCTTTATTCCATTTTGAGTTAATTTTTGTATATGGTATGATTATTTTGCACGTGGATATCTAGTTATCCCAGCACCATTTGTTGAATACGACTTTCTTTCTAACTGTCCTTTTCTCTTTCTTTATTTACCAGTAATCCAAATACTTATATTAGTAGTGCGTGCATATGTGCAAGACATATGATAAGACTCTGGAGTATACAGTTTACAATAAGAACCTTTCTTCCCTTAAGGACTTATATCTAGTTGAGACTGATGATGGCATCTATACATGAAGTGGTTAAATGGTACATGATTTAGTGCCAGAGGAGTGGTGGAGAGAAGAGAATTCACTAGAAATTGAGAAGACTGGGTAAGTATATGGGGAGAGAAGTTCATAGAGGAGAGGAAGCCGTTGAGGTTAGGTAAGGTTTGATACAGAAAGGCCAGAAATAGCCAGAGCAGAGCTACTGGAGCAGTTAGATTCTTTTGGCCCAAAGTATTTATGGAGCACCTTTTAGACAGATTTTGAAATTTTCCTGAAATACAACCTTCTCTTAGGCTAAATTATGTTGTTAGAAGTTGGAAGCACCTGATAATACAGTCACATTATTTAACAATGGGGATGCATTCTGAGAAATGCGTCGTTAGGGGATTTCATTGTTGTATGAACAGCAGAGTGTACTTACACAAACCTAGATGGTATAGCCTGCTACACACCGAGGCTATTTGGTACTAATCTTTTGGGACCACTGTTGTGTATGTAGCCTGTCATTGACCGAAAGGTCCTTATGTGGTTCATGACTGTTTACTTTGTGCAGTTGTATTTAGAGATAGGGCAGTTTCTATTTTGGCCACCCCATATTGGATTGGGTACCTTATGGGCATTATCTTCTGTTTGCTTATCTTTTTACTTCTCTCAGTGGTTGTCATTGAACCACATTTATTATATTCCCTTTTCACAGTACCTACAACCTTCTAGATTTCTTTTCTTGAAACTCTAGAGAAACTCTTCTTGTCATAGTCACTGGTAACTTCCACATTGTAAATCTAGTGGTCAGTTCTTAGTCCACATCTTACTTGACATAGCAGTGCATGTAACATAGTTGGTTACTCCCTCCTTGACGCATTTTCTTCACTTGGCTTCCCCAACACCATACTTTCTTGATTTTCCTCCTCCATCACAGTTAGTCTTTTAGTAGGTCTTGTTAGTCTCCGTTTTCTGTTCCACTTCATCTTGGTCTCATAAACTTGGAGTTCCCAGGACTCTCTCCTTTTACCCCTTCTTTGCGTCTGTACTGAGTTTCTTTGTGATTTCATTTAGTCTCATGGCTTTAAGTATCATCTATGTGTCAGTGACTCGCAAATTTGTATATCCAGCACTGATCTTGTTCCAGCTAGCTTTTCCACATATGCACTGGGGTGACTACTCTAAATCTCAAATTTAACAAGCCCCAAACTGAATTCTTTATCTCTCCCTTCCTCTCATTCCAGCTCTGACTTTAATCTTTTTCATCTTAATTGAAGACTACTCCTTCTTTCCAGTTGACTCAGGCTAAAAACCTTAGAGTCATCTGTGAGTCCTTTTCTTTCCTCCTGTCCAGTCAGGAAATCCTGTTGGCTTTACTTCCAGAATATATCCAGAATCCAACCACTTCTCACTACCTCCACATCTAATAGCCTGCACTGAGCCACTGTTGTCTCATCTGGGTTGCTCCCACAACCTCCTCATTTATCTCCCTTCTTCTGTTCTTATACTCCTGTCATCAGCCACAATGACCATATTAAGTGTTATGTCAGTTTATTTACCTTCTCTGCTCAAGACCCTGCAGTGGATATCCCTTTGACTCAAAGTAAAAGCCACAGTCTTTACGATACCAAAAAAGCCCCACAAGATCAGGACCCCCGTTATCTCTTGGGCTTTCTTTCCTCCTGTTTTCCTTTGCCAGAAATCTACTTTAGCCACACTGGCCTCTGTTATTCCTTGAATAGTGTAGGTATATTTCTCCAATAGGGCTTTTGTCCTCTCAACCTGGAATCCTTTCCCTGGTGGGGAGGAAAACTAATTTTCCCACTATCCTTGTGGATTCTTGGCTGAAACCCCTGTAATAAAAGACAGATTAACAAGAGAAAAACAGTTTATTAACACGTATCCATCATGTATACATGGGAGATTCTCCCAGGGAAAAACTGGGTAACTCAAAGTGGTGGCTTAGAATTCAGGCTTAAATACCATCTTCAGCTAAAGACAAAAGAAAGAAAAGTGCGGGGAGGCCAATATGGGGAGGGAGGGAGATTTACCAGGAAAAGCACAGTAAACAAGGGTAAGGTTTGTTATGTTAAGTCTTAGCTGCCTCCATTGATAGAAGTTTTGTATGATTTAGAGTCATCCTTCTCTTCTTGGTACAGAGAAGGAGACACCCTTACAAATGGAGATTTCTCTTATAAGTGTAAATTTCTCTTACAAAAGGGTAACTTCTCTGTTTTCAGAACTTCTGTGTCCGTTGTTTCTCAAAATAATCAGTTCAAAGTAATCCTTATGCCAAAGAAGCGTATTTTGGGGTGGCATATTCTAATTCTCACCTTCAAGGTAGCCACATGGCTGATTCCCTTACTTTCCAGTCTTTGCTCAACTGTCTTTCTCAGTGAGGCCTACCACATCCACCCTGTTTAAGACTGCAGTTGCTCAACCCACATACACTCCCCATCTCTTTTACTCTGCTTTATTTTCCCATACTAGAATATATCATCATTCTGTCATACTGTGTAATTGACTTAGGTTTGTATTGTTTATCTTGCTCACCAGAAGGTAGTTTTAGGGCAGGGATTTTGGTGGTTTTGTTTCACTGCTATACTTGTCACATATGAGTGCTCAATAAATATTTGTTGAATGAATGAACATCCTACTGTACTTCTGGGCTTATTCTTGTTCACTTTCTTGGGCCCCATCCCAGACCGATTGAATTAGAAACTCTGGGGATGGGGGGCCAACTACTTTGTTTTAACTAGGCCTCCAGGTAATTCTGATGTACATTAAATTTTAAGAACCACTGCTATATAATTTGAGTAGGATTTCAGAAGCCAGGCCTGTTGATTGCAAGTGGGGATATGTAGATATGTGAGGTAATTGACACATGTAACTGAATTTGTTCTTTCTCCCTTCTTCTCCTCTTTTCCTGAGGAAATAGCACAGGGGAAGAGGAAATATACTGTAGTAGCTTTCACTTGATTTATCATGTGTGTCAAAGGTCACCGAGACCACCTTTAGGTTCCAGTTATCACTAGGACGATGCATAGGACTCAGCATGTAGTCACACTCATGGCTAAGATTTATAACAGGAAAAGGGCACAAAGCAAAATCAGCCAAGGGGAAAAGGTACATGGGGTCAAATCCAGAGGAAACCAGGAGAAAGCTTCCAAGAGTCCTGTCCCAGTGTAGTCACACAGGGCACCTTTAATTCCTCCAGCATCGAATTGTGACATGTGTGGAGTATTTTTTACCAGGGAAGCTCATTAGAGACTTAGTACTCAGGGTGTTTATTGGGCACTGGTCATATAGGTACCTCTGTCGGGCACATAGGAAAGTTCCACACTTGCAATGGGAAAGCAGATATTCAGCATAAACCACAAACAGTTTAGCCACAGCGAGGCCTTCTTATCAATACTGGGAATGGTGGGAGCCCTCCCGAAATCCACGTTCCCAGATGCCAGCCAGGGTCAGCCTTGCAAGCAGGCCTTTCTAAGGATAGTAATATCAGGCCTACTTGCAAGGTTGGCCCTTGGCTGGCATCTGGGAACTTCGATTTCGCAAGGGTTCCCACCACCCTAGCTGGTAAGAGTGGCTGGCTCACTGTTGCTTATAGGTGGGGACGTGTTAACTCTTTTCTGCTGTGTTCACTCTTTTCATCATGGTATCTAAAGAAGTTTGTTAGTTTTTTCTTCTGCTTCATGTAGATTATAAAGCATTTAGACTAAATAATCTTTAGGAAATTTAGTAACTATCAAAATGTTTTGAGAATGACTTGAACAGTTTACTTTAAGTGGATTGAATAAGTGAGTTTATTCACTTAGACTTGTTTTCTGAAAAATGCCTTGGCAGTGTTATTCACAGTCTATGCTTATTTTAATAATTATGAAAGTGGTTTATTTCATAGTAAAATTTCCTTATTTATTCCAAAAAATAAAATATATTAAGATAGCTTTCTTAGTATTCACTTGAAAAAATTGTCTATGAATGTGACCACCTGCTTCAAAGCAGGCACTGGTTTTTCTTCACTTTTCTTCCATCTTTCATGTTCCAAGGGCGTGTTTGAAGCTTGTCGTCTTTGGGTTTGCTTTCATGAGTAACCAGTCTTCTGTCCTTCTTTTTTGTTTTATAGGCCAAGATGCTGAATTATCAGGGACACTTTCACTTGTTTTGACACAGTGCTGTAAAAGAATAAAGGATACTGTTCAGAAATTGGCCTCAGACCACAAAGACATCCACAGCAGTGTTTCTCGGGTTGGAAAAGCCATTGATAAGGTATGATGTTAAGCAAGTGTTTGGTATTTTTTAGCATCATCCTTCATCTCCTGTCACTGCTTTGATAACGTTAGCTTTCTGAAATTATTTTATGCTGTTCCTTTCATCCTTGCTACTAATAACTTTTGCAGATCTGGTTTTGCTGTGTTATTCTTAAATTCTTGTTGCTATTATTTAAAAGCAAAAATAAAAACAAACCAAAAAAACCTTCCCTTTTTACAGTGTTTTTTATCCACTTGCTTATATGACTACAGCTCCTTGTGTCATGATGAGTAAATTTCCACAGAAATTTTAACTTACTATGAGGGAGTTTGTTTACAGAAGTAGTTTTTCCTACTTCCTGAGTATTTCCCTGACTGTGACTCTGTCTCTATTATGGGTTGATTAGGATAACATCCGTCTCCCCTGCATCATCCTAACTCTTCTTGTCTCCCTGTGGGCCTGCTGGTTGCTTTTCTCCAGTGTTTCCTTCTGTGTGAGTGAGTGGGTTGGTTGTTTGTCAACAAGCCTAGTCACTTGTGTTGCCTGATTTTTATTGTGACATCTCTTGAATCTTTGGCTTAGGGTTATACTTAGAAGCAGTGATTATTTTTAGCACTGGGCTGCTTTTTCCTGTGGAGTTCATAGTCCTAGTGGAGCCTAAGAGACGTGGCCTAAGGTTACTGTGTGATGCCTGACTGCTTCAGCCATTGAGGAGTTTGTGACTGATTATGGACATTTTTGTTCACACGTCATAAACTCTGAGAGGGTAGAAAGAACTTTTGAGGAGAGCTCTTTTAGCAAAATAGTCCTATGTGTTGCTTAGCCTATGCATGAGAGCAATAGCTGTAACATAGATAGAAACTCATGGAATCCAGAAAGTGGCTCTAACTCATGAGTAAGCCTAACTCTTAGGAATTATCGTATAGGACAGTAGTATTGAAAGGCTAGACTTGAGGCAGCCTGAGTCAGAACTAAACGCTTCTAAGGAGATATCATTAACTGGTAGTTACGATATTGGGACTGTGAGTGGCAAGGGCTCTGGGGACTGTTTGGGTAGCTGTGGCTTACAGAAGTGTTAGTGGCCTTTCAGTGAGCTCTCACCACTCGCATAGTGCTGAGGGCTTCAGCTCAGCAAAAGAGGCCGGAGAAGTGGTATTGGCAGCAGCCGCCCCATTTTTGGATCATGATGGTGGTTGCCAGCAAAAGCTAGGAAGGCAACGAGTATTCTCTGAAATAGCTTTGTGGTTGTGACACCTGTTTGGTAACTCCAAGGGAGTGAACACAACTTTGGAAGTGGCTTCAGCATCAGATTTTTTTTTTTTTTCATTGAGGTTATGGTAGTTTACAACATTGTGAAATTTCAGTTGCACATTATTATTTGTCAGTCATCTTATAGGTACGCCCCTTCACGCTTTGTGCCCACCCCCCACCCCCTTCCCCCTGGTAACCACTAATCTGTTCTCTTTGTCCGTGTGTTTGTTTGTCTTCCACATGAGTGGAATCATACAGAGTTTGCCTTTCTCTATCGGGCTTATTTTACTTAATATGATACCCTTGAGGTCCATCCACGTTGTTGCGAATGGGATGATTTTATCATTTTTTATGGCTGAGTAGTATTCCATTGTGTGTGTTTGTATGTGTGTGTGTGTGTATATATATACACCATATCTTTATCCAGTCATCAGTCAGTGGGCACTTAGGTTGCTTCCATGTCTTGCCTATTGTGAATAACGCTGCAGTGAACATAGGGGTAGATGAGTCTCTGTGAATTGTTGATTTCAAGTTCTTTTGGTAGGTATCCAGTAGTGGGATGGCTGGATCATTTGGTATTTCTATTTTTAATTTTTTGAGAAATCTCCATGCTCTTTTCCATAATGGCTGCACCAGTTTGCATTCCCACCAGTAGTATATGAGGATTCCTCTTTCTCCACAACCTCTCCAACATGTTATTTTTTGTCTTGGTTATTATAGCCATTCTAATGGGTGTAAGGTGCTATCTTAGTATAGTTTTGATTTGCATTTCCCTGATGATCACTGATGATGAGCGTCTTTTCATGTGCCTATTGGCCATCCATATATCTTCTTTGGAAAAATGTCCATATCCCCTGCCCATTTTTTGATTGGATTGTTTGATTTTTTGTTGTTGGTTTGTGTGAATTCTTTATATGTTACAGAGTTTAACCCTTTGTTAGATATATGATTTGTAAATATTTTTTCCCAGTTGGTGGGTTGTCTTTCTGTTTCAATCCTGTTTTCCCTTGCCTTGTAGAAACTCCTTAGTCTGATGAAGTCCCACTTGTTTATTCTTTTATTGTTTCCCTTGTCCGAGGAGACATGGTGTCTGAAAAGATCTTTTAAAGACTGTTGTCAAAGAGTGTACTGCCTAGATTTTCTTCTAGAAGTCTTATGGTTTCAGATCTTACCTTTAAGTCTTTGATCCATTTTGAGTTTATTTTTGTGAATGGTGTAAGAGAATGGGCTATTTTCATTCTTTTGCATGTGGCTGTCCAGTTTTCCCAGCACCATTTGTTGAAGAGACTTTCCCTTCTTCATTGTGTGTTCTCAGCTCCTTTGTCGAAGATTAGCTGTCTATAGATGTGTGGTTTTATTTCTGGGCTTCCAATTCTGTTCCATTGACCTGTGTGCCTGTTTTTGTACTGATACCATGCTGTGTTGATTACTGTAGCTTTGTAGTATATTTTGAAGTCAGGGACAGCATCAGACTTTTTGGAGGCTATGGCATAGGAAGTCTTCAGTTAGTACCTGAAGTGGTTGTTGGTGTGTAGTAGCATAAAGACTTACTGGAGGGGTAGTGGGGCCCTTTAGAGATGATCTTAAATCACTGTGGGTGAGGAACCCTCACTTCCTCTAGGGTGAAGTAACTAACTACTGGTGGTGTTTAGGAAGCTTCAGATTTTGGTGGCTGACAGTGACCAAGACATTCTAGTGATTCTGATGGTTCAAACCCTAGGAGGTTCCTGGAGGCATCTGCTTGACCACTGGATTATAACAGAGGGTAGGGACAGCAGGACCAGAAGATGCCATGACAGTGAGAAGAGCTGAAGAAAAGCAGCCAATCAGAGAAAGTATCTGAGAAGAGATCCCAGGTTCTGGGAATAGGTGGGGAGAGCCTCAGCAACCATACCTCGAGTGTGTAGACTACTGGCCTTACAGGCCACCAGGATCTGGAGCACTTGGGCAAATAATTCACCAGCTTTGCATTCTGCCACTGATAGGGCGACCATATGTCCCCATTTCCCAGTTTACGTCTGTTGTCCTGTCCTAATTATCATCAGAAACCTCTCTCACTCTTTTCCCTCTGGATACTGATGACTTGCCAAGTATGGTTTCCTCCTGCTCTAGCAAGTTCACAAATATTAGGAAGGGTTCTCAGAGATTTTGGCTAATCTTTGAGACAAAGCATGTAATGTATTTGGTGCTAGAAATGAAAGTATCTCTTTGAAGGGAACACCTAGGTAATCTATGATCTGGCTTTTTTGGTGGGGATATGTTTGAGGTGAATGTTTCTGATTATGTATTTTGATTTACTCATTTCTGTTTTGAGGACGTTTTTTCATGTACTTGGAAGTTATAAGAGCTTTTGTAATTTTTTTTTTTTTTTGTAGTTTTATGTTTCTGTGAAAGTAGCTTAGGTTCTAGGTGGCCTGGATTCTAGATTCTTCTGATTCATCATGTGAAACTACGTTATTAAGTTGATACTGGTAAGTATTTGTTGAAATATAGTCCAGGGGCACAGAAGAAGGCCTGGATCTTTTAGCCCAGTTGTCTTTCAGTGCATTCTCTCCCAATTTTGTTTTTTTTTTTGGCATCTGCTTGGTTTTAACTGTAGAGGAAGCTTGTTATCCTACTACAACTACCTAGACATTGTACATGAACCTCCCACCTACGTGAGGAATTCTGTGTAGGCTGTCGTCATGTAAGACTCCATTGACTTGTAAAGTCTTCCCTTGCTTTTAGCTTGGACCTGGTGAATTGGTACAAGGTTCCAGGGCTGCCTCTTGTAAAGGCTGAGTGAACTCATATGGATTGGTGGTGAACAAACAGGATGAAGCAGACGCCATTGTGTCACAAGCCTTTTAAGTACCACAACAAACAGACTTGAGTAATAAACTAGAATGCTGTCCAGCAGCCTGTGAGCACCATGTTATGGACACATGTTCCCACCCTGCCAAGAGGAGGACAATCAGAGAAGCTGGTGACTACTTGATGAGTAGGCTGGTTTTGAATGAGGAAGTGTAGTAAATTTTTTACCTGCCAAATGGTCTTTTTTTCCTTTAATGTTTCAGTGCTTGTTTTAAAGTTCTTTAGTCATCACTTCCCTGAAACCATAAGCAGAAAAGAAGTTTGTGGTGTTAGCCAAGGTTATTTTCTGGCTTTTAATTATTGTGAACATAAAAAGTTATTGAAGATTTCTTCTTTAATGTATTGAGTGTTTTCAGATACCCATAGTGTGATCACTATTTAAAATAAATAATATCAGCCATTGGGTTCTGTGGCAATTTTTTTTTTAGTAAAAACAAATAATGTGTTGGGCTATTTTTAATTTCCTCCTCCATTTTAAGAAAATCTAGAATTCTCTCCTGTTTAGGGCATTTTATTTAGTGTTTTACTTAGTCTTTTGACTTTTTTTTTGTTTACTTCCTGAGTAAGGAAAGCCAATAAAACGATTACTGCTTTAGACTTGTGTGTGTGTGTATGTTAAAATAAATAGTACTAAGATTTTAAACTGTCTAAAATTTGCTGTGGGACAGTTGAAAGTAAAACACTTAGTACCTCTTCTTTAGAGGATTGTGCTCTATACAAGAGTGCTGGAAAGAACTGGAAAAATTCTGCGGCAACATAAAATATATTTGCATGGGATGGACTCTGCATCCTTTAAAGTAAAGGGAAGATCACTGTGCTCTTGTTTCATTTGGGTTTTCGGAGTTGGTGTCTTCAGTCTGACTTGGAGGAATGGGTGTGATTTAGAGCAGCAGAGCAGTGAGCTGTGGGTTTCT